GTGGCCAGCTCCCAGATGGCTTGATAGCTCAGTTGGTAGAGCACTGCACCGGTATCGCAGAGGTCATGAGTTCGAATCCCTTTCAGGCCTGAATTTTTTTCAGACTTTAATTTCACAACTGCTTAAGTTGTGTGCATAACTGCGATGATCAATCATGTCTTTATATCATTCTCCGCAGTTCAAATATATGAAATTTCATATATTCACCTGGATACCAAGTCAGTTGCAGGTTTTTTCTCCTTCCCGCCAGATAAACAAGCCGCTGGCTGCCAAGACAGTTTCAAAATGGCGGCCTCCGAAGTCGTGTCTTTGGAGACGAATTTCTTCAGGATAGCGGGCACTTTCGAGGCTGAAACTTCGGTGGGTAGAAAAGCTGAATATTTACTTGCTATAGGCGGAGACAAAAAAAAATAAGCTTTTTGGAGTGGCCTTCTCCTTTAAACTTTGCAAAATAGTCCTCAGCTTTTTCTTGAACGAGTAATGCATGGAGACAAAGCAAGAAATGTTTAATAATGAACGAAAAAATAAAAAATAAAGGGAAGATCTCGGATATCAGTTAAACTGACGCGTCATTCCTCGGCTGACAGTTAAAATGTTCACCCCTTGTCTGCGATCAATCCTCCGCATGAAAAAAAGATGGCGACTGGTACATTTATCCATAATTGTTAGCTAGGAAAACCTTAACAACACTCATAAAAACCTACAGAAAAGGTCTAACATCTTCAAACCTAGCGTGCACAAAATTGTTAGCACAGGGACAAATATTGCAAAATATGGCTTGTGTTCTTAGTTTCGCATGGTATCAAGGTAAATTTTATAGTACTATCTTTTTCCTGCGAAGAATTAGACCCCGTCTAGACCATGTAATAAGGGTAAATGGTAAGTTTCTTCATCATTTATTTGTAGATGTGATGCAAACTCGGAGTCACTACGCTGACAACACCAGTTATTATTCATTGAACTCACTCTCTCTTTTCTGATTGGCCGAAAGCGTACAGTGAATTTCCGAAATCAGCGCCTGTGACGTCATCTAGCAATAATCATGTCAAGGACACTCAAGGTCACGGGTAATCATGTCATGTATGACCGCGATTGTCAAGTTCGTGCGCTTTCTGTTGCTTGCCGAAGTGAAGAAGCAAAAACATGACTTCCACATATTTTTTCACTCAGTGTATAATAAAACGATTATTAGATTCCGAAAGGACAACTTGCCCCTGGGACTGCATATTTAGGACAAGGTTGAGACAATTTGGCTTGCTGGGGCCTTTTTGGCCTTGATATCTGAGCGAATCCGCAAAAACATGCCCGCTAGGTTTTCGCCTGGATTCGGGCCTCGTTATGTTTTAAAACATTTCGAAAAATATCTTAAGATGGGATTACCTTGGGTACAAAGCCTATATGGCGGTTCACTCTCTTACCTTGATCTTCTCTTGATATTACGTATATGCGCGCGACTAACAGTGTAGTGATCCGTAAAATCTAGGCTTGGGTTGAGTTGGTATTCCAGGTTTTGAGGATCAAGTTCCGCAAATCCGTTTTCAAATCAGTGTTCAGTTATCCTTACCTGTATGAAGAAAAGTGATTGTTTTGGCTGTTTCCTGTGTAATCCTAGCTGGAAAGTCTGTTGTTATGGACAATATTTTTCCTCTTTCCAATAAACTCTCGCCCCATCTGTTCCAAGCTGTTACAGCGAACAAGTAAGACGTGTCAGCGGTAAGCTCTATGCGGAACAAAAGACCAGTAACATTCTCGTGTAACCATGGTTTCTCACGTGTCGTGGTGTCTTTTGAATGCCTCACTGTGTATAACGTCACCAAGTGTCCTTCACTGTAAACTGGTGACCATTGCAGGGTCCAGCTGACGTTGTACACCATCTTATTTGTGTTCAATATTGTTGGGCTCTCGGGGAGAACTTATTTATTAAGCAGGGAACAAAAAGAAAAAAAAAAAGATTTCACGGAAAAAGACTTTGGCAATGTTATTTAAATGGAGCCATAAGTCAGTCAACTAAAAGATTTATATGACAGCTTATTAAAGAGCATGCTTAATAGCGACAGAAAGAACGAAACGGAGAAGGACCCGAGAATGTGTATTTGAAGCTTGTGAAGCTTATCACGGGGCGAAAGAAAATGGGGTGGATTACAAAAACACTGCGACTAACCATTTGAAGGGAGTACCCTCTAATAGGTGGGACTGGTGGACGCTCCATGCTTCTCCGGGAGCAAAAAGAAATGATGGCTTCCTCTCTTAAGGAGTCCTTTTAACCGATATCACCGACTTGAAGGTATCAATATATTCCATTTGACGGTTAGCTGTTTGATGCTGTTTTTAATTGACAAATTCAGTTACCTTTGAGGATAACACTCCTTTTATCTTCTCCTGCAGAATTTTTAGCAACGCATAGGAACTCGCCCCAGTCCTTATCTGTGATGGTCTTCAGTGTTAGCACCGCCTCAGACATACCATCAGTCAAGAAATTATTCCCTTTGTACCACGTGACATCAACAGGAGAAAAACTGCTGGCCATGCAATTAAGGCTCACATTTTGTCCCGTCCTGACCAGGGGTGAAGTAGTGACATGGGTGATTCTTGGAAGATCTGCAATGGCTACAAACCAAATTAAAAGCCTGGATCAATGTTCGTTACATAATGATGATGTTGATTGTCATTTTGTTAATTGTCTTCTTGTTTATTAATCCAGCCTTTCGGCAAAAGCGTACAACTCGATCTAGAAACTGCTCTGAAACTCTGAATTGATGATCAGTCCTTTTCAAACCTGTAACAACCCTAAAACTTGTATGAAATTGCTACTTACGTTCTGTCTCGACTTGAAGCTGTACTGTGTCTATTAATGGTGAATTTAAACCACTGTACTCGACATGGATTCCAAATACTTTGTTTTCGTCTGCGGACTGCACATGATAAAGCACAAACACTGCATGGGAAGATACCAAATTTCCTGCCCAACTAATTAAGCCTTCGTATCCTGCTCTTACTTGGACCGAACCACTCCTACTGACTGCTACAAGTTTTTTACTCAGAACACCTGGGGAACTCGTCCATAAACCAAACGCCACCTCGTAAAGTTTGAAATGACTCGGCTGGCAGTAGCGCCATTCTAAAGAAACATTACTACCAACGTAGGCATGAGTGGGCTTAGCGGGTTTATGAGTGAAACTCTGCTTTTGGCAACCTATTGGACAAAGATCATAAACATTACAGTCAGTAATGATTTCGTTTTAAGGTAAGCGAAAATAAACGAAAAGACGTTTCGATATCTTCCTAACATCATTGTCAAGTTGTTATAGAAATATTCTGCGATCCTTTATGAGAAGCCCGCTAACTTCACAAACTTTACCAATCACATCTCTGCATGTCAAGCCACTAGGCATTGTTCTGTATTTTCAAATTTTGTATATCTTCTTGTGTATCCGTTATTTTTGGCATTTGCCTGATGATTGCTTCGCAAGGAGCATGAAACTCTGAGTAGCAATAAATGTCTTCGACCAAATAATCCAACTCTGCAAATCTATATTATATATTATATATTATATATTCAATGACAGTAGAAACTGATTTGCAACTTAAAGTCGTACGTAGCGTCTGAAACTGGGACTGTGCCATCATACCACAAACTCCTCAGTCCCTACTCCTTCTCAAATGCTTTTGTTTGAAACTTAACAGAGACAGGGGCCGATCCACTATTTTTCTTAGGAGGGGGTGCACCACTAAGGAGTGGGGTAACTGACTGGTGAGGTAAACAAATTTTAAAAGCGAATACGAAGAAGAAGGCCTCATCTCAGGCGGGGGTGCGCACCCCCTGCACCTTCCCCCTTGACCTGCCCCTTAGATAGCGCTGTTTTGCGAAAAGTATTTATTCGAAGTGTAATAGTCAACACTCTATTTCAATGATAGTACATATTTATTAATTTCCTAGTTTTCTAGCTATAGCTACGGATGTTATTAGTGAGTGCAAACCAGAGATGACTTAAAACTCAAGTAACTGATCATGAGATGCCGTAACACAGACAAAACTCAGTGTCCGTGTCTAAATGTAACTCGAAATTCCGGGTTATATTTGATTTATTCCACCTTACCATAAGCTATGCGAATCCCACTATTTTAATAAAATAACTAATTGTTCACAATCTGATTTTCGTCTCTAATTGACTAAACTATAAAATATTTTAGCAGCCCCTTCTGAGAGCCAGTTAGAAGAGAGAAGAAGTAGAACATTTGCTGTTTACAGTTCAAATTTACATAAACCGAGTGAACTTTACTCAAATTAAAGCAATGTTTCTATAGTGGTAATAACATGATAATAAAAAAGTTTAGAATAGCCTGGGACCAAGGAATTGAAGAAGGAGGAGCACAAAGTTGTATGATTAACAAAGAACCAAGTTTCAGGGCAGATCGCGGGTAAACTGAAAGAGGAATAATTGGACAGTGGCTGTTTGCGTGCCTTTTAGCCTATGGAGGTCATGTTGCTCGATATATTGAGACACCTAGATATGACTAGCTTATGAAGTGTGANCTGATTTCGAAAATTCACTGTACGCTTTCGACCAATCAGAAAAGAGATAGTGAGTTCAAAGTATAATAATATGGATACTTTCCCAAGAAATTTCAATGACAGTGGAAACTGATTTGCAACTTAAAGTTGTACGTAGCGTCTGAAACTGGGAATGTGCCATCATACCGCGAACTCCTCAGTCCCTACTCCATCTCAAATGCTATTGATCGAAACTTAACAGATACAAGGGCGGATCCAGGGTTTTTCTCAGGAGGGGTTGCACCACTAAGAAGTGGGGTAACTGACTAGTGAGGTAAACAAATTTTAAAAGCGAAGACGAAGAAGAAGGCCTCATCTTAGGCCGATTGGGAGAGGNCCCTCCCCCTAGATCCGTCCCTGAGACAGCGGTGTTTTGCAAGAAGTATTTATTCAAAGTGTAATAGTCAGCACTCTATTTTAATGATAGTTCGTGTTTAGTATTTCCTCGGTTTCTACGGATGTTATTAGTGAGTGCAAACCAGAAATGACTGAAAACTCAAGTAACTGTTCATGAGATGCCTTAACACAGACGTTCTAAAGGTCCTTAAAATGTCCGTGTCCGAATATAACTCGAAATTCCGACTTATATTTGACTTCTTCCACCTTACCCTAAACTGTGCGAATCCCACTATCACCAATTGTTCACAGTTTTATTTTCGTCTCTAGTTGACTAAAATATAAAATACTTTAGCAGCCCTTTCTGAGAGCTATTTAGAAGAGAGAAGAAGTAGAACATTTGCTGTTTACAGTTCCAATTGATGTAAACCGAGTGAACTTTACTCAAATTAAAGCAATGTTTCTATAGTGGCAATAGCATGGTAATAAAAAAGTTCAGAATAGCCTGGGTCCAAGGAATCGAATTGAAGAAGGAGGAGGAGATAGTTGAATGGTTTAACAAAGAATCAAGTTTCAGGGCAGATCGAGGGTAAACTGAAAGAGGAATAATTGGACAGCGGCTGTTTGCGTGCCTTCTAGCCTGAGGAAGTCATGTTGCTCGCTATATTTAGACACCTAGATTTGACCAGCTTATGAAGTATGAACTAGAGAAGAATGCCACATCACGCAGTCATTAACTTTCTAATTAACAGGGTTTTTACAGCCAATCATGGTTTCCAGCAAGTAAAATTCACTACTCTGGTCAATGAATTTGATTAACCTCGTCCAATCTTTAAAAAGTTCTACCAATCCTCTCTTGATACAATCAATCTCTGTGAATCAATATCATGAGTAAATCCCTCTTGATAACCAAGCTCGAGGTCCGTACTGTAAGTTACGAACGGAGCAGGTCGATTTATTTTTATCTCTACTATCTGTCTGACGGGCTTGGGAAACGATTTCTGACGTATGTCGAAAACAAAACGAGTCAACTTGACATCGTTATTCGCTATGAAAGTTAAGAACGCTTGCCGAAAATCGCGAGAAATTTTGGCAACAAGAACAGCTATAAATTTTAGCAGGAAGTACAGTTAAGTACAACCTAATAAATGGACCAATCAATAACTGAGAGATAAAGATAAATTGATTCTAGTCAATAAACTAGTTAAAGATAGTAAATATTTGCTTAAGGAACGCAATTTGTGGTTTAAATAAGTTGAAGAGCGCGAGTGATAAAGAAATGAACGTCAGCTTTGATAGGGAAACACGGAGTGCAGTGGTCTAAATACTGTAGTTAAGAAACTTTCCCTGAAACGAAGCGAAATTAAAACAATTATAACAAGGGTGTGCATCATCAAGGAAGTTGAAGAAAGACACACTGAACATTTGGCCGATACAGAGCACATTTCACTAACAGAAGCTGGGCAATATTCAGAATAGATGTAAAGTACGTCACATTCATTGCCATAAAACAAAGGCTCTTACGAAAACGTTGATTATATAGTATATGCTGGACTGGCGTTTTAGTAGAAAAGCATTTTGCAAGCGTAGCTAATTGCGTGAATCCAACATGTATGTTCGGTTATCAATGTGAATTCGTACCTTTAGTGAACATCGATCCTGGAAAGTTACTGCTCAGAGCAAGAGCTAAGACCATTGTAAAACTAAAGTTTAGCCCCATGGCCGGACGTAAACGTTTTGTCGACTTGACTTGTCTGTCGGTGGTTAACTTGATATAATGATGGCACTCTAAACCCTCTAATGACAGCGTCATTAGTTTGTGAATTGATCGATAATCTGGTATCAGTTATCGGCCTTGTCAACTCAGTTAGACGATTCGTTGGATAAATCAACGAGAAACAGATTTTCTCAGATTTTCACTCAGATTTTCCAAGTAATACAGAATACGGTAACTGCCGGGAGCTAAGTGAACAACCGGACAAAGGGTAATTATATGGACTTGAATATTAAAAGATGTTTTCTTAAACAGTTTCCAAGAACGCAATGCACGGCTAACTGAGCTTTCCTAGAAAAAGAAAACAAGGGGTCATTCTTCGGTGACCCGATGACTGACTATCGCTTAGCAAAATCACCAGGGGCTGATTAATCAAGCTAGTGTCAAGCTGTAGGATAGTTTTTCCTGTGCTTTCGTTAGTTCAACTTCTCGACCAGTTAACTGTTATATGATTAGTTGCTGTTAACCTACAACGGGCAGAAAAATGTCGAACTCTCAAGTAAGGCAATTACGTCACGAGTTCCCTTGCTGTTAGATGTTCCAGAGTACTGAGCATTGTGACACTAACTGTTGATTGCATTGTTTGTCGTGGGAGAGGTCTCTCTAGCCTGATATATTCCCGGAACAGTCAAACACCGTGTCATTGAGATGTTTAGGTCGACTAATATCCATGCATATCCAATGTCCAGTTGAGCGGTACATCGTTTAGGAAATTCAAAACGGTTCTGAAGACGACCGATAACAACGACGACGATAATGATGACGATGAAGATGGGGATTTCGACTACAATTCTTATGACGATAGATAATGATGTCATAGAAGGCCAGAAAGGAGTAAAGTGGTAACGAGAGATTTGTTCAATGGAATGAGAATCTCACTCACAAAGGAAACTTTAAACTGAATTAATCATTTAAGTTTTTCGATAGTTCTTGTGATAGAACAATGATTGCTTTCACACGCATGCAGTAAGAGTTTTTGATAATTTTCCGATTTTGAAGTTCCTGCTTTTTTCTGTCAAGGAATGTAGAGTGTATTGAATTACCGGGAAGACAGATAATGAAAGAAGTCACAACCGATAAACTTCCGTCCACACGCAAAATTCGAAAATAACACTTTGCACTTATCAATATTATTGCAAACAAAAATGCAATAATGAGTAGCAAGGGATCGTATATTTATTCCGTTGAGCGAGATCGCTTAAATGAATTCCATTCAAGATTAATAGTATGAGTATTATAGTATGTGGTATAAGTCCGGATCCCCCATTCTACAACTCAGTGAAGATTGTCGATGATTATTACTCTTACCTGAACTCCATAACACGTTTGTTGCAAGAAGAAGGCAAATTGGTAAAGCGCCTTTTGGCCAGCAGCTCATTTCCACAGCCGCAATAGGAGGTAAGCCATACACCGATGGCTTCCTCAGCCCCAGTCGCTATTGAGTGCTAAATGACTTTTACAAACAACTTGAAGCGACAGAAAGAGTTTTGGTATAGATCATTTCAGGAGAATCTTATCTTGCATTGATGTATGGTAATGAAGATACAAACTACTAAACCGTAAACAAAATTCAAGAAACGTATACAAACGAAACTGAGTAAAAGGGCAGTTTCTGGAACTGTATTCGCGGCGTTCACTCTTTTGTAGTTACTTACTTGGTTATATCCTGACGGGTTCGGCAAAAGATAAGTTATGACTACGTATAAAGTCTATCAGATTGCCTTTTGACTGGCTATATCTAACGGAAAAATACTTAGCTTGGTTTGTTGAACAAACTGTTATTTTTCTAAGAAATCTAGAATCATAACCTTAATTCACAGTACTTGGTTCAATTGTCTTTATGCTTGGCAAGTATTCAAGTTTCGGTTTTAAATATAGCGTCTACAAACACTCTATTTTGTGTTAAGTCGAGGATGATTTTTCTTGTCTGAAGTTTATTTTGAGTCTTGCAGTATCTTCACAAGTATATAACATCAAGACTGATTAAGTGAATAAAACCCGGCCCGGTATTTTTGCTCAAACAAAAGTATCCGAGATCACATAAGTTCCTCTCAGTTATCTTTGGCACACTTGCTTAACCAATACGCCCTGATAAACTTGATATTGGGGCCGGGAGTCTGTTTTTGTCGTTGTATAGGTATCATACTGAAATTACACTGGATAGAGAAGCAGATCAAACATTTTCCTTTTAATATTCCTCACAAGGAACTACCGACTTGTTAAGAGGGCAGTTGTTTGCCGTTCTTGCCGCCACTCACTTAAGTGTACTGATTGATCGCTTATACGGATGTAATCCATCACATTACTCTTAATGTCATATCCTTAAACGATAAAATTTCACTCAGAAACTGTTTATTTAAAAGCAAACAGTTTAGTTTTCTTAGAAAAGTTAGGGTCATAACCTTTGAGAATTTGTACTGCCTACTTGGCTCCGATTCAAGTTTCGGTTTGAATTCAGTGTATATATATGTCAATAAACCGAGTGTCAACATGAAATATCAATTAAAGTAGTTATGTGAAATTCATACAGAGTTCTGGAAGAACCAATATTTTCACATGAGCATTACAGTTTACCAGTACACTACATTAGTGATAGCAAAAAGTTATATTTTGCTCGGAAAAATTACGCATCTAAGACAACAAGAGGCTCAAGTGGCTTGAGACATCTCAATGTCTTACACTTACTTAACATGAATGTTTATGAAGCGCATGTTTTAGTTCGTATTTTCTAGGTATTTTCAGCTTAATTGATCTGCTGCTCATGCGGTAAATTCGTCGTGAATTCGCTTGAACTCGTCCTCAGTGGAGTCATTGGCCAAATGGTGAGGTAGACTGGAGGAATCTATTTTTAGCTCATGATGGTCCAATGTAATTTACTCTGTGTTTATTTGCAGTTTTATTTTCACTAGCTAAATTGGGAACTGACTGGGCTGTGGTATTGCCTGGTACTTTACTGTATCAAGTTCCGTGAATACAGCTTTGTATGGCTGGCTTGTAGTGAGGTGAGGTACACTGGAATATCTACGGTGTAATTAAATAGTACATGGTATATAAAATAGCATGCTTATGAGTTATCAGTTGAGTGTCTGACGTCAAGTACACAATGGGCAAAGGAGGCTTAGGCGTGCCATGCTCTTAAAATAAACCAATGAGGAAAATTGTTGTAAGCTTCCCACCACAGGCGGATGTCTTAGGAGATGAATTTTCTTGATCAAAATGTTTCATGATGGGCTGTTTTCCCTAACTACATTGTTGAAGATGTTTTAATTATAAATATAAATTAGTGAGTCAGTCAGTGTGACCCTGAAAATTTATCTTACACTGAAAAAGTATCATATTACTGGCAATCCACATATATACATATTGTTTTCAAGGGTTCGCATGTTTCGCACGTGTACATGTGTTGGACTGAAAAGAAAAAATTATTTCAACTGGGAACAGTAGGCATGTGACAGGTGGTTACAGAATTCGTATATATTAAAACACAGGATGTAAACCGGTAGCGGAGGATTTCGTCGCAAGGGAAATGTCTGACTCTACTTGAATAATAGTTAATTTCATAATACAACATTGTTATCACCATTGTTATCACTTTCAATAAGGAGTTTTAGCAAACCACGATGGCGAAGGCAACGAGAACGTCACCAAACAAAAGGTTTAATGGGGAGAACAATGGTTCTGCACCTGCGTTTTGATTCTTTGTACATTTCTTTGCCGCCGGCTGCAAAACAACAACTTGAAATGACAAAGTCGTACGTATTTTGGAGAGACTGAACCACAAGGGCTAATTTTTCCTGTCTTCCTTTGAACTGAACGCTGTTATTACATATTTAGCTTGAGCAGGTTTTTAATAGACCGATAGGTGTACTGAATAGATCTACACAAAGTGCGACATTCGAGGGTTAAATATAAATACTTTTTTTTTTACAAGGCGTCATCCTCGCCGTCGTCGTCGTCATTGCTAAAACTAGGGACCTCAAGATCCGACGATGGCGAGTGTCTACGACGGCGGCCGTGAACTGGGGGAATGGGGAGAGGTCGCCGTCGTATGGCGAGAAAATTGATCTTAAGAATTCTAGTGGAGGATGCGGACGGCTTCAAAACAAGCTTTCGGTATATTAGTGAAAGTATGGCATCCTTTAGAGATATACGTAACCTTCTCGTCGAAATTTTGATGACGATGATATTTTTGAGGACGAATTTCTTCTCCTTTACGATGCAAACACCTCGTAAAACCCAGAATTCCCTTATGACTGCTATGGATCGTTCGACTTAAATGAGATGGACGACAGTGAGTGTTTAGCTGAGTTTCGTTTTCATAAGAATGATGTTCCCGTCCTTTTAGAGGCCTTGCAGCTCCCTCAGTCTTTCACGTGCCACCAAGGAACCATTTGTGATAGAGTAGAAGCGTTTTGTATAACACTTACGCTTACTCATGCAGATACAGCGATTTAATTCCACGATTTGGTCGCCCAGTTCTGGAGCTGAGTATGATATCCAACCTCGTGATGGATACAATTTATCAAGAGCACAATCACAGACTAATTCAGTGGAATAATACGCTTCTAAACCCGGTCTCCACTTCTTGAAAGCTATGCCCGTGCGATTGACTCAAAAGGGAGTTCATTACCCAATTGCTTTGGTTTTATAGACGGAACGGTAAGGGTAATTTGTCGGCCTGAAGAAAACCAGAGGGTCGTTTATAATGGACATAAGAGAGTACATGGCCTCAAGTACCAGTCTGTTGTCTTACCTAATGGCACGCTAGCCAACATGTACGGCCCATTAGCTAATTGTTTTAA